AGCGACCATTGATTGGCGCAGCTGTGAAATAGCGACCATTAATTGGCGCAGCTGTGAAATAGCGATCATTGATTGGCGCAGCGAGGAAAGCGACTAGGCTTTGAAATTTGTGAGTTAGAAATTAGAAGAGTGCAAACAATAGATAAAGCTATTATTCCGCTGTTACATTTCACTTGTCACTACCACGAAAACGTTGCTAAGCAATTTATGTATCACTTATCTCTTATATAGTTTTATTACAATGTTTTTCATATTCAATAAGAAATCATTTTGCGTTAGAAAAACAGTTATTCGTCATAATCACTTACATATTATTTGTAGTGAAAACAATTTTAATTCGATTCACACAGAGGTAGAGAATGTTTATCAATCTTAACAGTATCTAAAACTATTTATAGAAAAATATAGCCTCAAAAGAAATTTGTAATGACACAAATGACGCTTATGTAAGTGTGCAAATATAAATTTATTCCCGAACTTTAACATCAACATAATAGTTATATTGAAGATCAATTTTCTAAATTCAAGACACTTTTTAATCACAGACAAGTGATCGTTTCGTGTGTAACTCAAAGTTATTTTCTGCAATTCCTGGTAAAACTATACGTGTCTCAGATTTTAACCTTGGTAAAAACTAGCCTAATGTTTAGTAAAAGGCACTTGCAGTTTTTCTTCTTCTAATCTATATAAAACTTAGTTGTTTAAAGGCCTTGAAAAAGAATGGAGTTTTTCATTACCCTTTGCTGAGGATGTGTATTTTTGTCTTGCTTTCTTTATTGCAAAGCTACAGAATGGGCTATTTACGCTCTATCCATGACGGGAAATCGAAATCTGGGATTTTAGCGTTGTAAGTCCGTAAACTTGACCCAATGGGGACACATTGCTCAGGAAGGGGGTACCTAAAGTTAATAATAATTAATAAAATCTTCTGGTGACCAACACCTAAATTCTACAATAAAAACTAAATTTTAATGATTTAGTTGAATTTATGCCCCAATATAATGTCGATAACATAAATTAATAGCTCCGGTAAATAATATCAAGTACAACAACCTTAAACATTAATATGATATTATGCAAATACCACATAACTTTGGGTATTATGCTCATCTTGAATTTTATTATCAATCAATTTTATGCCCTGTAATATGACATCTGTAATATGTAATGTACGTGTTTCTTTGTAACAACATAATAAAAGTTATGAAAACACGTTTCGGATTCATTCACGTGTCTCACAAAGAACCTTTGTTATAATCTGAAGTTCTGTCACTTAAACGTTAAGTGACATTTACGTACTAATAGTTCCACTGGCTTTGTTAAGCAGGTATATATTATATCATGTCCCACACATTATAGATAGGAGTATGTCCTCTATCAAGGTTTACCTCTGTTTGAGGTAGCTGACTCTTTAAGTTCTCTCTTTGTATTTGTTAGACTAAGCTTATTATTTATAGATTATAACGTAGGGCATGCTCGATTCCCCCGTGAATAACAGGTTCTGGACATTGTTTTCCAGTAGAAGAATCGAAGAAAACGAATCAAGAAATTTAGATTTTCAATATGGCGGAGAGTCCATTAGCCTTCCTTGCCTTTTCGTTCGAAAACGAGTTTGTTGATGGTGCTAGAATAGTGATGAAACAGTCCAATGTTTATTTTCAGGTATAACCCTTGTAAGTAACAAGAGTAATTATTATGGGAGCAATATAGACAAAATCGAATAAAATGCTGTTTGCGAAACATATTCTGCATTGTAGCCAAAAGTTAAGTGCATGTTGCATTGGTAGACCTTTTTCTATCATCTTCATGACGTCACTGTTCCTTTTACACCGTCTCCTCCTTAAGAACAATCGGGAGAATTCCGGAACACTGTTGCGAGTCACTTTATTGTTGTGTAAAATGTTTCCCAAATTCTTGTCGATGAAACGAGAGTAATCACAGATTGTGAAATGCTGTACAAGACTGATACGATGTGGTAAGGGATCCATAAGGTGCTTGAAGGTGTCCTGAGGGGGTTTCCCCCTCATTCAGTTATTTATATTATTCATGGAACGAGATAGGAAAAGGACAGTGATGATGAATGTATCTTTCAACTTCATCCCACATAAGCTTAATTCGACTGAGATACTGAGATTGTGATGCCCATGGGAAATACCTGGAGTCTCTGTCATGCTCCAAACAAAAACCATGCACGCACAATATGGGTACAATGAATGGAGGTATTATCGTTTTGGAAGTAGCTGTCCCTATTAGGGTGAACATGAAATATCGCTGCTTGCACGTGACCAGAAACAATGCTGAAGTACTTTCCGAATGGACCAGGGGGTCTAAGGTATGTCAGGAAAACATGTCCCAAGCCACGAGTCCAACACCAGAAACCTGGACAATCGGTACCACACAAGAGGAGTGAGTTATTTTTTCCAAATCTGCATTCTTTCACCTGTGCAACAAAGGTAAAGCATCGTTAATTGGACCGCATCACTTTTCACCAGTTATTATTAGTCCAATGTCTAAACCATTTACACCACTCAAAGCGTTTTTTTTTCTTGTTACTAACTGAGTACATTGATTTATACTATGTTTTCTTACTGTTGCAACGTTTTGTGCAAAGTGTAGTTGAACATGGTAGAAATTGCTTTGTATTGAGTGTCTGTCAGTTGATGTGTTGTATGACGACGATTAGACTTTCCCATTCTGTCTAACCGTCTTCCTCCTCTTTCTATCATGACGTGTTTGCGGACACAATTCCTCCCTTGGAGCAGAAATTTGATTCATCTTTGTTCATTTCTGATATACTCGAATGATCAATGTCTTGGAGCAGCCAACCTAAGAAACTGTTTTGGCCAACTTAGGTACTTGCTAGGCGTGCACTCCTGTCATGCCTTTTTTGAACACTACAATATCTCTAACTTTCCTCATATATGCTAGATTGACTGCAAATGTGCTTGTTCCAGTGATTTCCCCAAAAGAGGGCCGAAGGCCGTCTGGAGGGGGTCACCTGTTTTAATCACTCGCTTCACTATACAGTAGTGTGTTGTTTGTCAGTCAGTCGGTAGACACTAAAATGGCGTCACATAAGGGACGTTTAAAGTTGCAGTCTGTACTGTCGTGACGTCAGTAAAATGTGCGCATGCCATGAATCACGAGAAGAACTGTGCATTCTGTAGGCTACAACACAGCATGACATATGAACTTCAAAAACAACAGATAAAAATATTTCTTATTCTTAATTTGGATTTTATTTACTCTTGAAACAGAACACTTTTAGGGAAACTGCGGAAATACATCTAGTTTATTGTACTGTAGAGATTATCTGATACATCACGTGATCAAGCTACTTTGTATTTGCAGCTCTAGTCAGGAATAAACTTAAAAGGGTACTTAGTTCCTAATAAAGTGGCCTGTAGATGCAGCGTGTCTTTCCTGAAGTTGCAATATTCAAGAATAAATACTTGCACTTAATCGTAAATATATGCATGAGAAAGGTCGACCTGAAAAAGAAAATAGCCTTCCAAACTAAACCTTATGAGTAGTTCTAATCGTTATATATGTAAGAACAGGATCGTCCTCCAGTGTATCAGCGGGAAAACTCTAATATTCGGGATTCAATACAACGAGGTAGACAGAGCGTAGATAAACCCGTTGGGTAGCTTTGCGCCAAAACAAGAACAAGAACGGTTAATTATATCTGAGGAATTAAAACGTCTATAGAATAACAGACATTTCTCCAAATACATGCCTAAGATGGTAATGAAGCTTTGGTGAGAAACCTTGAATAACTGGATATTAGCATTTGAATTAGGAAGAGCAGCTACTGTAGCATAAATTTATAGTAAATATCGATGTTGAAAAAGGTAGAATGTTATTCATAAGAAAAGAAAATATTAGTTAGGTTCATTAAAATTAGCTTCCATGCATAATAAAAGAAATAATTTAACAAACAAAAACCTAAAATCATGTGATTATTATTTTGATTGTGATAGAAGAGTACGTAACAAACTGACGTAGTTCTTAAGAACAAAGAACGGGCATTAAAATAACCACATAAAACACTTTTTCTATATGACAGTATTCATTCTATCATTCAGTATTTAAACTACCCTGCCAAAGTGTTTCCAATACCCCCTGTCATACATGTAATATGGTCTACGCAGCATTATTTGCAATAAAACTCAGAAACATCTCAATCAGTTGGCTAGTGATGATGTAGTGTACGAAAACCAAGTTACATTATCTTCAAGAACGCACTGTTTTGTGTAAGGCTCATTAATACTGCATTATGACGATTAGTTATGAATTTTGTGAGTTAATGAGACCAATTCACAAAGTTTTAAAGCGAAGTCCGTCTATAGGTCTGGAAGCACATAGGTATGCAATTCGTTTACAGCTGTGTTGTATCAATTAAGAACTACGGTGGAGGTCTTTTGGTGCGAGATGTATTATTGAGCATGGGACCTGTCTGTGAAGTTTCTGGGAGAGAGACCTTAAATTAATACGACCCAGGACCTATGTATGACCCATGGCAAAATATTGTGGTAATTAGGTTGATGAGTTGTTAGAGCAGGGTGGTTTATAACACAGGATGGCTTATCTGTACTCGAAATATAGGTCCATAGAACATATTCAAAACCATCTGAAGAAATTAAACAAAACTGTTGGACCACATCTTTCGGGCTCCATCAAGTGGGCGAGCTTTGGAAACACCAATGGAGATATCTGTTAGAATAGCTGCAGTTATTCAGAGCAAGTTGGTGCTACACAGAGTTAGGGCAATAAAAGCTAAACAGATGACAAAATGCTTGGATCCATTCGTCAGAGCAAGCTACATTTATTCACTTAGTTATAAATAAGAGTTTTCGATGTTTCATAATTTTTTCTGCTATTTCACTTCGCTTCTGTCTTTCGTTTGTGAAAGGAAGGTGGTTTTTTATTATTTTCTTTGATCTTATATTGAAACATAAGTGACAAAATATAAAAGGCAAACACTTAAAGATACTTACCTCGCCATTGCAGAAACAGTACAGCAAGGCTACAAAAAAGCCCTGTGGAAGAACAATGATTTGGACGTAATATACTTTCAGCTTAACATATGAAAAGTTTCGTATTAAAGTTAATTAGTTTCATTAGTAATGTTTGTAGATATATTTAGCAAACTTAACTGACGTCCATACTTAATGTTTTTTAACTAAGAAATAATTTTTGCAAAATCAGCGAATGTAGAGAAACTTATTTTTAATGTTTTTTTTTTAGATTTGGATGTTAGCTTGTTTTTACATATCCGTACAGGAAAAAAGATACAACATTAATAAACAATTCAGAACATTTAATTAGAAACACAGTTATTAACTTGCTTGGATTTGAAAACAATGCGATGTTGCATATATTAGATTTGTCTGAAGACATTATTTCCTAACCTGAAAAGAAGAGAAGAACTGGTCAGCATAGAGCCAAACGATCTCCACAATTCTGCTTACACCTGCAGCTAAAGACATTCCCAGAAGTAGAGCGTAGTGAACCCCAAACAGCGGTACCAAGACTAGAGTGGACTTAAACCACTTCCTAGGAAAGATAATACCAATTTAAACAATAGCAGTTTTTACCAGTACTGTGATTTAAATCTGAATCTGAATTTTATGTAAAATTGAACAAAAAATGCACCACATCGTATTTAACAGAAATGTTTCGGAATTTTTTTCAACCAATACTGGGTTTAATCAGCAAGGTTATTAAGTAAAGAAGTTACTAAAATTTAAATATGTCTCTAAATAAGAAAACTATTCGACTATGATAACTTCATATAGCCAAGTTCAACTAATTATCAGTAGAAGAAGTAGTTGAAAGCTTTCAGTTTGTTTGTTTGTAGTGAAGCACAAAGCTACACAAAGGGCTATCTGTGCTTTGTCCTCCACGGGTATCGAAAGCCGGTTTCTAGCATTCTAAGTCAACAGACATTCCGCTGTGTCACGGGGGGGGGGAGCGGAAAGACAATTTGCCATGATATAAAAGACTGTCTACTTTAGATATTATTGATTAATTTAATTTTGTGACTGAATCATTTATTGTTGTTTTGTTTTTGTTATAATGAAAGTTAAAAGCAGACGATTTTAGGAAGTTTTGTTAATAATTCATTGATGTTGAGACTATCGAGCGTCACGTGCAATACACTGACGTCGAGAATATAGAAAGCGAGCAGACGATTAAGTGATAAAGATATAAAGAGTGCGAGACGAGCAAAAACAGCAGACAAATAATAGCAAAAAAAAAAGAGAGTAAAGTTACAGGGCAAGGAAAAGTTCGGCATGAAGTTAGCTACCATAGAAGTGATAGGCTTAATGACAGACACAGGCATAAGGTTTAATCTGTTAGAGTAAGACTAATAAGAGATAATAATAAGAATTATTTCTTCAAAGCGTGGTTCTAAAGTAATTTAATGATTGGCAAAAGGAACAGAGGATATTGAGAAGAAAGAAGACTAAACGATCATCGGTAACTCGTGCCACAATTGTAAGTGAATCACACGCAGAATACTAGAGCAATAGTAATAGAGAAGATAGTTCGACTTGTCAACTAAAATTCTAAAGTAATTGAATAAGCCTAAATGGATTTTTGTAGCGTTGGGAAGGTACCAACTCTTGGGCTACTCTTTTACCAACGAATAGAGGGTTTGACCGTCACATTATAACGCCCCCACAACTGAAAGTGCGAGCATGTTTGGTGGGACGGTGATTCGAACCTGCGACCCTCAGATTGCGAGCCGAGCGCTCTAACCACCTGGCCATGCCGAATCCCAGAAATATTTACTTAAGGTAACGATGACATAGGCTGTTAACTTTGAAATTTAATATATCATTACCAGAGCCAAACTCTTAAGACATTCCCTAACGGGGCTGTTTAATTGTATATGCGCAAGATAATAAACAACGTTTTTATTTATTTTCGGGTTCCTTTTTTGGAGAAGTAAAAGCCTCTGGTGATTGGGAAGTAAATCTTGTACGTGTCTAATTGGTTTTGGGAGAAAGAAATTGAACAATATTTATTATTTATCTAGTGTAATTTCTCTTTTAGAGGACGAAGTTAAAGTGCAATAATTAGACATAAAATACCAAGAAAAGAGAACGAACTGCTTCGTAGAGCCCCCAGTGGCACAATTGTATATCTGCAGACTTACAACGCTAGAATCCGGGTTTCGATAGCCGTGGTGAGCAGAGCACAGATAGCCCAATGTGTAGCTTTGTGCTTAATTACAAACAAACAAACAAAGCCTCGTAGAATAGTTACTAGTTTCATAAATTCTTGGTCTTACCTGTAGCGATATCGACGAGCTTCAGAAGTCTGCGAGAACAGTTTCAGATATAGAACGCGTGTTATGTCCAGAAAGAAGAAGAAATTAACCTGCAAAGAAATGCAAATTATGGTAAAAAAATGTACCTTATAACCAGTGGTGCCTACAGGGGAGGAATAAGAGGAGAAAATCCATATACGTTTTTTTTTCGAAAAGAAGGGAACTGATGGAAAGAAAAGGGGGATGTAAAGATGTAAATATGTTATCGGTAGTTTTTTATTTATTTATACTATAGCTATACATAAGGGTTGTAGTTGTTGATAGGGATAAACCCCTTATGTATCTTCTAACAAATTAGGTGTAATGTGATGATGTTATATGTTGACATAATATAAATAAATACGAACCTAAAATGTTATCTTTGATTTATGGCCTGCATGAGCTTTAGATATATTACGATTATTCCAAATGGTGTTGGATAGCCTGGTCATTACAATACTGTATTAACAAAGCACACATTAAGTTTAAGGGGACTAATCACACGCTCTAGAGAAGCATTGACATCTCTGTTTCTAACAAGTCAATTTTATTCTTAAAAACACACCTGTATTTGTGGCTACAATACGGAGTTACTGCTGTATGGTAAACAATAGTCCTGGGAATATTGGAGGAATACTCTATATTTTGTGAGTTATTCAAATAGCATATAAACTTAGAAATGAACGTTAGGATGATGAAGAAAGTCTCACTTCACTCCCTGAGCACCTCCATCATGGTTCAAACACCAAGTATTTGAATAATACATTATGCTTTAGGGGTACATGAAATAGAGTGGCACACGTGTTTGAGAGAATAGATTTATAAACTGTTATAGGAATTGAGCAAGCGGTTGGTACCACGAAGTATGTGGTCTAGCAAGAAGTAAAAAGTTGTTTGTTTTTAAATCTAGAATTAGATAGATAAATATACGACATATTGTTATTATAAGTATTAATACCTTGGGTTTTTCAGTATAATTTTACATCACATTGTTACCTCATTGTCGGTTGGGTATTTCAAATATACAATTACATTATGTTTGACTATATTAAGACTTGAGAAGGTTTTGTTTATACTTGTTATATTTCTACATACAAATTCACATGAAATGTAACGAAGGGGGGTTTCATTGAGTGTTCACATAAAATGTTTGCACATGTTTATGACAAAAGACAACATACAAGCACACGTACATGTATCAGAACATTTTTCCACGCAGTTACCCGAAATATCTTAAATTCCATTTTTAATATTAAATTTGTTAATCATGTTAGGAATGCAAAAGTATGTATAAAGGTAGAAATATTATTTAAATATTTATATATAGTGCGATCAAGTCTTATAGTAACTGATATATATATACCTTGTTGAAATGGTTGAAAAATAAATATTTTTACACTGTCATTATGTGGTTTTACTGAAACATCATTTACATAAGGTCAACTACTGGGTAAAACAAAGTATAGCCTATTTGTATATTGAATAAACACAATGTATACACAAAGTACTTTTTCTTAAGAAACATAATTTTATAGAAAAAAACATCATGCAAAAGGTTTTTAAATTCTTGCTTTGTTTGCTGTTAAACACAAAGCTGCGGAATGGGCTATTTCCGCTGTGTCCACCACACGTTTCGACCCTGAATTTTGATGTTGTTAGCCCTAAGTATATCGAATATATAAATCCTATTCTTAAAATGCTTTTCTTTAAACAACTTTTAATTTTAAGAAGAAAAAATACCTGTTGCACATTTTTTTTTAATTCCTTGTTTCCTTCTTGTTAAGCAGAAAGCCATATAATGAGTTATCTGGGATGTACTCATCCCTGAGACCGACCCTCGAATTTAGCACTACAGGCCTTCAAACTAATTACTGTGTACCAGTAGGAGACAGGTTTTTAAATATTAAAATTATAATATAATAAAATAATCTTTAATTTTTACTTTAGACAGATCTAGGGCCGAGCGTAGCTCAATGGTCAGACTGTAGATCTGTGGGTTTCTCCTTCGCGTTCCAAATAATTCTTGCTACGCACTGTGGGGTCATGGATGCTTTATAAAGGTGGTCAAATACCATTATTAAGGCAGACAGGGGTAGGAACACGAGCTAGCTGTGGGTGCTACCTTCCATCCAGTCCATTACTTCAACATTAGGGTCGGCTAACGCAGATTGCCCTTGAGTAACTTTGGGTAAACATCTGAAAACAAGCAAACGAACTATATTGATCTGAGCTCCAGGTTTTCAGGATGTTCAAAACTCTAATGCTCTGATTCTCACACATTTGTTTATAAGTAGAATCAAGAATATTTTCAAAGGTAGAAAGTCTGTGAAAAATACAAACTGGAAATAATTCAGAATAGCTATATTTGTCCTATGTAAACGTTCTTCAGGATGAGGGCATGGATATTAAGACAATAAATTGAGAGTAGTATTATCTCCTGATAATGCTGATGATTGGCACTGACTAGATAGACGTTATAGTTGCAATATTAGTAAACAGATTTAATAGGACCAACAGCATTATGTTTACGACTTCGACTGCATTTTTTTATCAAACATCAATAAATTATAATAAAAAGGGAATATGCTTTTAAACCATGCTTTACGTGTAACCACTGTTTTTTATTGTTTTTACCTCTCCTACCGAGAGTGGACGGATGTTATGTTTTTACCCTTGTGTGTGTGTGTGTGGTTGTCAGCAAGATTCTAAAAACGGCTGAATTGAATTTGAACGAAAGTTGGTA